GTCACAGTCAGAAGCTTTTAAAACTAACATTTGTCATAACCGTTGTTTTAGAAGCATTCTAAGCTATGAAACACACATTTATATCTCTCAGTGTGTTGATTCCAGAATTTGATGATGTCACACGTCAAATCTTCAGAGTCAGAACCTGTTAGAAAAAGCTACACACTAGACAAACCATTAGGGTACTAAACTGTTATCTCACTACCCATGTGGTTTTATCATCAAAATACAAGGTTAGATGCATAACAAAATCTTATTCTTACAAAATTTCCAAAGTTTGACATCTCAAACTCGTTCTTTATGCATGCGTTGAACTTTTCTCATTCATCTTCATTGGAACATGTGAGTAATAATTAATCCTCGTCTAGATATAGGATGACTTGGTATTGTTCACTTGAGCCTTTCACTTACACTTCATGTTTTGATGTTCACTTGTTGAAACCTATATTAACTAAGAAGTTATCAATCCTCTTGTTCCATGCCTTAGGTTCTTGAATAAATCTATGAAAATACTTTTTCAAACTTTAAACCATCATCTCTTTCCCTTTCATCTCAAAACCATATGGCTACTTTATATAAACTTTTTCTTCTGCAGGTCAATTAAGGAATACTAACTTTACATCAATTTGATGCATGTTCCAACCTCTATGTGAGGCAATATCTATAATTCGTCTTATGGTTTCAAGTCTAGAAACAGGTGCATAGACTTCATTGAAATTAGTTCCAAGCTTTTGAAGAAATCCTTTTACCACCAATCTTTCCTTATAGTTGATAATTTCACCAGCCATCTTCCTTCTTACCTGAATAATTGACTAGTTTCAATGTCTTGTTAGTTTCAATGGAATTGGTCTGTTTATTCATTGATTTAGTTAGACATACAAAGTGTTTCTGACAACTCCTTGAAATCTTTAAGTGTGCTTGGAACTATGGGGTATTTATTGTTGTAGTCAGATGTGCAAAGCATCTCTGAGAGCTCCGTAAAATCTTTAAGTGTGCTTGGTGTTGTGGGATATTGATTGTTGTAGTCGGAAGTGCAAAGCGTCTCCGACATCACCCCTGAATTTCTTTAAGTGTGCTCGGAGTTGTGGGATATTGAATGTTGTAGTCGGACGTGCAAAGCGTCTTTGATAACACCCATAAATTTGTTTATTTTGGGTGTCAGCTGCATTGGTTGTACCCGATTTGTTGTTACGTGCATTCATATTTCGGTGCCCTAAATATGAAACAAGACAGAAAGCAAAATAATAAGAATATAACATCAATATATATATATATATATATATATATATATATATATATATATATATATATATATATATATATATATATATATATATATATATATATATATATATATATATATATATATATATATATATATATATATATATATAATTTTCATTTAACAATTATATGCTGTAAATGCAACAACGAAATGAATTTACAAATACGTTAATTAAATATTATGGTCGGTTGCAAGTATATATTGATCGCTCTCCCTTGGGTGTATTGTCTGGGAAACTTGAGCGCTAGTTGATCTGGAGTATTGAGTCTTCGACATTTGAGACAGTTGATAACGAGAAATCGTATCATATAATTACTATGCTTTTTACCGATTTTTATAATGCATTGAGTCGTCTAACTCCCGATTATTCCGAGTTTTTGTGTCTTTTCACAGGTACAACATTTGTCAACTCAAATCAATGAAAAAGGACCACATGAAGGAAGCTAACCAAGAAACAGAAGAGAAAGAACCAAATCTGCAAAGTCTGCAGATTTTGTAACGGTGACGACCGTCACACCCTGTGACGACCGTAACGCCTCCTCAACCAGAAAGAACGCTTGTCACACATCATTGACGAGCGTAATGCGCTATTTAAGCGCATTACGACCGTCACCCCCTTGTGACGACCGTCACACGCTTAAAGGGCAACGTTATGAATTAGTGGAGACGTGGGCAACGTTGAGGGCAGAACTCTTCTCCTATATTTCCTCCACTCAGTAACCATGCATCCGGGTCTTACTCCACTCAAGCCTTTTCCAAGATTTTCTCAACTGCAATATTTTCTTCTATATATATGTGGTAGTTCAATGGATGATGGTCGAAGAAATTTATCTAGAGCCAAATTTATATTTTTCTGCATTATTCTATTTTCTTATTTTTGCACCCTTTTTTACACCTACTGTAATTTTAAATTCCATAATTAGTTTTTAGAGTGTTAATTCTTCATTTAAGAATTAACACAGTTATTGATTTCGATTGAATTGCAAGGAATTTGTAACATCCAAGATTACCATAGCAACATTATTTCCAGGTTTTTTATGCAATTGATATTTATTTATTCTTGTATTATGTCATTTATTTTTATGGATTATATTTTAAATTGCATAGTTACTAAATATATTATGTCTGGCTAAATTAATTGTACTGGTATGTGACTCCTAAGTGATAACTTGGCTAAAAACATTTACAAATAATTTCTGGTTTCCAATTTCCATGTTTAATTTAACTACCCTTGTCACGAGAGTGAGAGGATAATTAACACGATTTTGCCACGAGAGTGGGAAATTAAATAAGGCAAGAACCTGCATGCGAGAGCTGGGGTTCGACCCAGATAGTGGTAACGAAACATTAATTTTTAAATACATGAGAGTGTTTTAACAAATTAATTAAACTCAAATTGTTTTCAAAAAGTGTTATTAAATTTAAAGTGCATCCACTAGGTTTAGTAGCATGACTTATTTCATGAACACGAGAGTGTATGTCTTAGGTTTTTAAACAATTCGTTTTTACCGAAATACTTTATATGCCAAGCGATTCACCGAATTCCTGAAGTTCGACTATCACATACCGGTATAGCTATTACTATTATTTTTAATTAAACTATTTCCCCCCTAAAACCAAATATTCATCGCTTAGTTAAACAACTGTAGCATTAGATCGTACGCGATTGATCATCGGTCTCTGTGGGTTCGATAATCATTTAAAACTAGAACGACTAAACTGTATACTTGCAGTTAGTATCCCAATAGACCCATAAAGTCCCGATCAACAATCGGCCTTTGATGGATACCTTTGGGTTATAACTCTCACTGTTGAGGTGGTAGAACGCCTTTAAGCTTTAAGCTTTCTCCGAAATGTTTAGGCTGCCTGGTTGTTCGACTGAGGATCAAAGGAATCCAAGTGTTGAACTTGTGCTGGCCGACAGACCTTCGATGCTCTTCTGGATTTGTAGCATGTAAAATCTCCCAAACATTTATGCTTAGGATGCCCGTGGTAATCGAACTATCTTTCCTCTTCTTGATTTACACCTCGGGCATACTTATGGTCTGTCCTTTGGAACGATGTCAGGGTACTGGGGACTTCAGGTGTCGATGGAGAGCCATGTGGCCTTCACTTACTCCATTGTGTTTGGTACTCAGCCGACCATCTGATCGCCCGAGTTGTCCCATATCTCGAGATATCAATCACCTCGTAACTCCTTTATCATTCCACTATCCCATACATCTTGTGATCGTCTAGGACCGGGCTATTGTTGGTACGATGAAAAGACATCCGACGTGAGGCTTTTATGATGATGAGATATCCGACATGGTCTGGTCATGTTGGTAGTTGTGCAGTGACATCTCTAGGATGTGATTTCTTTTGTATTTGCTCGAATTCGTGATGAATCTAAGCTCAGGTTTGAGGAGATCCACCTGACGACTTAATCGGCAGTTATAAATTTAGAATGTTGATTGACCGGAGGTAAAATGGAACTCAATCGATCATAGCTCTGTGAATTCGAATCTAGACCCGAGGGGGTCTGTTAACAACCCCGACAGGAGTTAAAGATCAAGATTCATGGTCGGCCTAAGCTCAAATTAAGCTTTACCGGTCATAACACAGTAGATATAAGTCCATATCTGAGAATATTATTGGTGTCTTCTCATGGTTGTTCGAGATGAGCAGTCGATCGGAGTTCGATGGATCTAAACGCCATATATATGAGATCTTGACTCCATTAAACCTCAATTTCTTCACCAGAGACGCTTTCGGATTCCAGATCTGAGAATCAGACTTGACCTCGTGGAAATCATAGGAATCGAAAGTTGATTCCCACAGACTGCATATTTGTTCCGTTCGAGAACCGGAAATGGAAAAGATTGTGGAAGTTACGGTGGAACGAAGCTTCGTAAGCAATTCAGTGATCTTAGATCTTGTACTGAAGGTTGTGATGGTATGCACCTTGAATCGAAAACATTGATCTTGAACAAGTATTGCTAACCTTCGATATGGTGGACCAAAGGTGTACCTTTATGGTTAGCACTCCAACGCGCAAGTCAATTTAAGATTCAAGATATTCATAGTAAGAGTAGAGATCAAAAATTGCGTACCTGAAACCCTCTTGAAAGTTGTAACTGTATTTATACTTTGAGTTCAATAGAGTGGACGAGATGAATATATCTTATCTTATTAGGTCTTTGGCCGACCGAGAACACTTTCTATATTTTTTTTCTAACTTTTATCTAATTATAATATATTTTGGATTCAAAATAATAATAAAAACTCCATGCACACCAAGAACTAAAATATTGATACGTAAGTAGTACATTTCTGTACGATTTTACTTGGAACATAATGTTAGAAACGAATCAGGCTTCTGTATAAAATTTCTATATTGCTCTTATCAAATAAATTACACACTTGGTCTTTTATAGATCCGAACAACTTTTACAATTCTAAACATAAACTAAAACATAACTGCTACTAATAATTATCATAACTTATCAAACTCTTGTCTTTCCTACTACCATATTTAATGTAAAACTTATTACTAGCACATTTAATGTTTTATTCAACACATAAAGGAGACATGAAAACCAGCAAACATGAAGAGGTAAATTCAACGTAAAATCTTAGGCAATAATATAACACAAAGTAGACACAACAAACACAAAGACAGTACTAAATTATAATGCTATACGTTAAGGAGTGATAGGTGATCTGATGATTTGATTCAAAGTCCAGTAGTGCCAATCAGTTTGGTGAAACCAAAAGTAATAGCCATAGCCATCCAACCACCAATAAGAACCCTAACACAAGACCTCATCACTGGAGTTTTTCCAACCAATGCTCCAATTCCTCCAAACACCAACAATGCCATGCTAACAACTGCACCAACAACACCCATCCTCATCTTATGATTCTCTATAAATGAAGCTGCTAGCAATGGCATAACAGCACCAACAGAAAATGCCAGTGCCGATGCCAATGCAGCTTGAAATGGATTCGGCAATTTCTCGCTTTCAGTACTTTCTTCATCAACTACTCCATTATTACTATTATTATTAGCTTCTCTTTCTCTTTTCATTTGAGCTATCTCTATGTCGTATTGAGTATACACAGAGACAAACTCACCAATACCCATGCTACAAGCACCGGCTACTAAACCGGCAAAACCAGTAAGGATCATAACACTGATGTCTTCTTTTATTGCTCCAATACCAATCATCATTGAGGCAACAGTGATTAATCCATCATTGGCTCCTAACATGGCTGCTCTAAGCCACTGTGCCCTTTGAAAGTAATTAATGTTACTCTCGTTTTCAACACTTTCTTTATTTGCATGGATAGGGATCTCAATATCAAAATTGTTAGGTGAGATTCCATTAGTTTTTGCTTCAAGGTTGGAGGCCATATTGAAGGACAAATGAAAGTACAGTAGTGTTGGAATACAAAAAAGAGGAAATTGGAATATGATATTAAAAGCTTGTGGAGAACTCATGCTTCTAATGAAAGGTATATATAGCAAGAGGGAATATCGATTAATCCACTAGTTATAGTGTATTATGTCACATGAGTAAATTAATATTGATAAAGAAGAGGGAGCTAGGTAGTGCATATTTGAATATAATCTATATCATTCAACTTTTCTGTGCATATTTGAATATACTATAACGGGGGACAAAAACATAATTAGAGCACAAATGGGTTAAGTCATTTAAAAACTGTTGTAAAATATTTATCGATTAGTGCTTCTTTATTCGATAGTAATTTATCTATCTTGTGAGATAACTGGCTTATATGGGCATCGTCAAACCCAACAACTCCATTTGGTTAAAAAAAATGTAGTCCATTTCAAGGAATTAGAATTGGAAGACGAACGATTATTGTTGTTGACCATCAGAAAAATTGTGAAACTTAGGCTAAGCCCATCAAACCTTCAACACAAGACTTTATGGATTAAAATGGCTAGAGCTAATTCAAACTAAACTAAGATATTGAGCTCAAACAAACATGAACGGTTGAGTTAAAACCTTGTTAATTTTGTTGAATAAACATTAAATGTCATTAGTAATAAGTTTCATATTAAATATGGTAGTAGGAAGGACAAAAGTTTAGTAAGTTATGATAGTTTATTAGTAGCAGTTATGTTTTTAGAATTGTAAAAGTCATTAGGTCTATATAAAGACCAAGAGTGTATTTTATTTTAACAAGAGCAATATACAAAGTTTTGTCTGAAGTCTGATTAGTTATAACAATTTGGCATCAGAGCTCATGGCAAACATGATGAATCAAATGCCGTTGCCACGGCTAACGAAGTCAAACTATAAAAACTGGAGTATCCAAATGAAAGCTCTTCTTGGATCTCTAAACGCGTGGGATGTGACCCATGATGGGTTTGAAGAACCAACAGAAGTTGGGGGATATACGACAACTCAAACGAAGGCGTTGAAAGAGACGCGATCGAAGGACAAAACGGAATTATACATGTTGTTCAGGGCTGTAGATGAATCAGGCTTCGAAAAAATTGCTGGTTCGACTACGTCGAAACAAGCGTGGGACACGTTAGAAAAAGTGTTCAAAGGAGCAGATCGAGTGAAGCAAGTTCGACTCCAAACTCTTCGTGGCGAATTGGAGAGAATACAGATGAAGGATACAGAAATTGTATCTGACTACATCACACGTATGCAAAAGGTGGTGAATCAACTCACCAGAAATAGAGAGACAGTACCTGATGCACAAGTTGTTGAAAAGATCTTGAGATCTTTAACAGACAAGTTTGAGAATATTGTGTGTGCAATAGAAGAGTCGAAGGACCTTTCGACGCTCTCAGTCGAAGAGCTCACTGGTTCTCTCGAAGCACATGAACAACGAAAGATGAAAAAGAAAGAAGAAGCAGTCGAAGAAGCAAACCAAACCAAGGAATCGAACAAAGACGAAAAGGTACTCTTTTCTCACAACTTTCGAGGAAGAGGACGTGGATGTGGAGGTCGTGACAGTGGTCGAAGTGGTAGAGGTAGCAACTTCGAAAGAGGACAATCGAGCCAACAAAATTGGCGTGGCAGAGGACGTGGTCAAAGAGGTGGTCGTTCGAACCATTCCAACTTCGAATGCTACAAGTGTGGGAAGTATGGTCATTACGCGAAGGATTGCAACTCCTACAAATGTTAGAACTGTGACAAAGTGGGACATCTTGCAAAAGACTATCGAATCAAAAAGAAGATTGAAGAAACAATCAACCTAGCCTTGGAAGCTGAATTGAATGAAGGCTTTCTCCTGATGGCTCAAAACGAAATCAACACCAATAATGACAATGTTTGGTATCTTGACTCAGGAGCAAGTAATCACATGTGTTGTTACAAACACCTGTTTAAAGATATGAAGAAAATTGAAGATGGTAATGTGTCTTTTGGAGATGCATCGAAAGTGAAGGTCGAAGAAAATGGCACAATCGCTTACTTGCAGAAGGATGGCTTGATTGGATCAATCGAAGACGTTTACTATGTACCAGATCTCAAGACCAACATATTAAGTCTAGGACAACTTACAGAAAAAGGTGCTTCGATACTTATGAAAGATCGAACACTGCATTTGAAGGACAAAGTGGGACATCTGATTGCCAGTGTCGAAATGGAAAGAAATCGAATGTACAAACTGAACCTGAGGAACATTCGAGAGAAATGTCTGTAAATCGAAGTGCAAGACAAAGCGTCACTGTGGCATATGCGCTTTGGTCATCTACATCATGCTGGTTTGAGAAGGTTGGCGAAAAGGAACATGGTGCATGGACTACCAGACATGGATTTCGAAGGAAAATTTTGTGAAGAATGTGTGCTCAGCAAACAAACAAGAACCTCATTTCAAAGGAAGGCAGAGTATCAAGCTAAACATATTCTCGAATTGATACATACTGACATATGTGGGCCAATCACTCCAGAATCCTTCAGTGGAAAAAGGTACTTCATTTCTTTTATTGATGACTTCTCAAGAAAAACCTGGGTTTACTTCCTGAAAGAAAAATATGAAGCATTAGAAGTGTTCAAAAAGTTCAAAGTAATGGTGGAGAAGGCAACAGACAGACATATCAAAGAAATTCGATCTGATAGAGGAGGTGAGTATACTTCAATGGCCTTTGTGAAGTACTGTGAAGAACAGGGCATAAGGATATTCCTAACTACACCATATTCACCTCAGTAAAATGGTGTGGCTGAAAGGAAGAATCGAACTATTCTTGACATGATTCGATCAATGCTCAAAAGCAAGAACATGTCGAAAGAATTCTGGGCAGAAGTAGTACAATGTGCTGTTTATATTCAGAATAGATGTCCACATTCAGAGTTAGAAGAAAAAACACCACAAGAAGCATGGAGTGGACAGAAGCCAACAATTTCTCATCTCAAGGTATTTGGTAGTATAGCTTATGCACATGTACCAGATCAACGAAGAACAAAGCTTGAAGACAAAAGTCAGAAGTACATATTCATTGGATATGATGAGAAGACGAAAGGGTACAAGCTCTTCAATCCCATAAGTAAGAAAGTAATCGTGAGTAGAGACGTTCAAATGAACGAAGCAAGCAAGTGGGACTGGAACAATTCGACATAGGTTGTTGACACAGTCGAAGAAACAACTGTAGCTGTACCAACAACTATTCCAACAGAACATGAAGAAACTGAAGATGAAGATGAACCTCTACAACCCAAAATGAGAAGTTTGCAAGATTTGTATGATTCAACAAGTGAGGTGCATCTTGTGTGTCTTCTGGAAGATGCTGAAAACATCAGTGTCGAAGAAGCGTTACGAGACAAGAAGTGTAAAAGTGCCATGGACGAAGAGATTAGAGCAATCGAACGCAACAATACTTGGGAGCTAGTCGAATTTCCAAAAGGTAGTCAACCCATTGGTGTAAAGTGGGTATTCAAGAAAAAGATGAATGCTCAAGGAGAAATCTAAAGATTCAAAGCACGACTGGTTGCGAAGGGATACAAACAGAAAGCAGGAATTGACTATGACGAAGTGTTTGCGCCTGTTGCAAGAATGGAGACAATTCGATTACTCATTTCTCAAGCTGCTCAATTCACTACGCCAAAAAAGACCTACGAAAGCGCTTTTTTTTTCCTTTAAAAGCGCTTAAAAGCGTTTTCTAAGGTGGCGCTGCTATAGGTTTTAGCAGCGCTTTTTGTTTAATGAAAAGCGCTTTCGTAAGTCTACTTATGACAGCGCTTTTTCTAAAAAGCGCTCTCTTAAGTACCCTTATGGCAGCGCTTTTTCTAAAAAGCGCTCTCTTTAGTACCCTTATGGCAGCGCTTTTTCTAAAAAGGGCTCTCTTAAGTAGGCTTTTGGCAGCGCTTTTTCTAAAAAGCGCTCTCTTAAGTAGGCTTTTGGCAGCTCTTTTTTATGAAAAAGCGCTCTCTTAAGTAGGCTTTTGGCAGCGTTTTTTTATGAAAAAGCGCTTTCATTGGTGGCGCTTTTTTTGGAAAAAAGCTTTCATAGGTTGTCTTTTAGCAACGCTTTTTCTTGGAAAAGCGTTGTCATATGTTTACCTTAGACAGCGCTTTATGTGAAAAAGCGCTGTCATAGGTCTACCTATGAAAGCGCTTTTCTCCAAAAAGCGTTTTCATAGGGTGTTTTTTTTTAGAGGTATAATTTATATAATTCATATACCTGCATTGTTTGCAGCATATTATTTATATAAACCAGTTGCCATAACCTGTAATTCATAAATAGCGGTAATGCATTGTAATTCCGATACCCCATTCTCGTACTCTTTCGACAATCGATTGGAATACATCCATGTCTTATCCATGGTTTAAAGTTTCTGAGTCAATCTGAGCTAAATGATAAATTAGAAAACAAAACCAATACTCAAAACTTGCACTTGCTCTTGCACAACCATATAACAAAACCAATACTCAATACTTTTCACTAAATTCATTTTATTCTATCACAAGAAACCATAAACAAGAAACTATCATTGCTCAAAATCAATCATAAATTATGTTTGTATCTCAAATTATATATAAACCATTGTTATCAGTATTGTAACTCAAAATCAGTCTTACAAAATCAACCCTAACAACAACTAAACCAGTCCTTATATTATTCTCTGCTCAATAAAATATTGACACAACTCCTCTTTGGTTTCTTCCAACTGAAGTTTCGTGTAATATGCACATTTGTACTCATCGAAGTACTACATAACAAAACATAATATGCATGATTTAGTTAAAAGTAAAAAATTATATGAAATATCCGAGAAATAATAAAACAAATCCTAAGTTATAAATTCATACCGTGACTGGAATCTCTATTTGATTCAGTTGAATGATTTCTTTGATTAACCGCATAACGAAGTATCCGCAATCTATACCGTTTTGCTGTTGAGGACACTACATAGAAAAACAAATAAGAATA